TAAGGCACTGAAAGTAGTGCAACCACTTTCAGCCCCCTTCAGCATCCACCCACAGCCTCCTTCCAGAATGGCCCCTGGCCAGCTTTCACTCAAGCTTCTGTGGTGCCTACTCAGCATTTAGGAAAATCACCCTTTCTCTCCATGCCAAATGGTGGGTGTGCAGAATTCCTCCTCTCTTTGCCCTTCCATCTCTCTCCAATTCCTTTCCCACACTTCAGAGGATAGATCGGCAAGTTCACTTTCTAAGCAGATATCCAACTGAAAAAAAGAAGGCCAGACTGCATTTCCCACCAAACAGATGTCTAATGATCTAGACAGCCCTCTTTAAATTTCTTCTATTTTCTCTCTCTCTCTCTCTCTCTCTCTCTCGATACTAAATAAAATTATTTATTTCCCTTTATGTCTTCCATTAAAATGACTATATATATATATGATATATTGTGTGTATATATATACGTGTATACACACACACACACACACACGTACATATATACACACAAACATACATACATATATATGTGAATTTTAGAAGCTCCTGTCCTCAACCTTGGGATTTCAGCTACAATTATCGGACATCAGGAAACTCCTATTGAGCATCCAGTTTCACACTCATAGGATGACCAGTAGAATAATCCAAGTCTACATGCTTCCTTGTTCATATCTAGCAGGAGTAGTGCACTGATGAACCATTCATGGACTATAAATCCTTCCTTCAATCTGATAGGTCAACTCAAAGGACATACCCACCCCCAGACCAATAAGAGTCACCAGGAGAATACCATGCACTGATTATTTTCCTCAAATCAGGAGTTGTGATGGGGTGGAGTCTGTGAAGAAAAAGGGAGATGGATGTTTAAGAGATAAGTAACAGCATCTGCTACATCTTATTACATGTGTCCATACAAATAGCATATAAAAGTTCAAATTAATCTTCAAGTGACAGAATGTATTAGCCTTTCTTTTCCAAAATCAATTTTCAGTGGAAAAGCTTAATCAAAATGTTAGGTACATTCTCCTTTTCAACAGTTTCAATTTTCTGTGTCTCCAAATCTGTAACCATTATTTTATTTATTTTTAACACTGGCTAGTGTTTTCTTTCAAGATCTGGGTTTGGGATGAAAAGTATACTTCTCATCATTTGTCTTTTAAATAATCATGCACTTAGATTAGATTTTCCTCTGAGAGAAAACAACCCAGAAGCAGAAGGATAATATTACATAAAACTTGTTTACACCAAATTTCCTCCATGAAAAAGGAAAAAAATGCAAAAAGAAAATCAGAATTTTGTAAGAGGAAAGCCAAAATAAACTATAAAAGGTTTCTTATAAGCATGTATTCATATGAATAATAATAGGCTACAAAAGCATAAAATTTCAGTTAAAAGGGGACTTAAAGCCAAATTCTCCATTCAAGATTTGAATACAAACTAATTACTTCAATCCAAAAACTCAGTATGAAAAATATAATTTTCTTTTTCTTTCTTTTTTTCTTTTTTTTTGCTATAGCTTAATTTTCATTGTGAGATCATGGGATAATAGAAATAATCTCAGAATTCAAGGTTTCCTTCCCTCTCACATTATATCATGGTGCTGTGGGCCTTGTATGTGGAAACAACATCTGTTCTTAACGTCATGGCCTATATGGTCATCTCTTGCTCCATTTGATACAGCAATCCATCCTTCCTGTCCGCCTGCACCTTTGGGCTTGGAGCTTTCTCTTTCATTCTAGACACTCATGTAAACACCTTTGAGTCAGCCTATTGAGGCCCTGTCTGCCTGGAATCACTGCCAGACTCCACACTGGGACTCCACAAGCTGGGAAGCCAGGTCCCCTTTGCAATTACACAAGCTTTTCGTTATTTTCCTGCATTGCTGGGGCTTTGCCTGAAAGGCAGCATTAGGGCCCTTTTATCCTAAAGGTACAGATGTCAACATTCTTATCAATTACTCACAACTTCTCTTCTCTATACTGTCCTCAATTCCAGGGGAACTTTTTCTACTGAGAGGGTGGGAGATGGTCCCACCTTCAAATCATCTCAAACATTTGGTTAACCTAAGATTTCTCAACCTTGGCATTATTGATATTTTAGATCACATAATTCTTTGTGGTGGAGGGCTGACCTGTGCATTGTAGAGTGTTTAGCAGCATCCCTGGCCTTCACGCACTAGATGCCAGTAGCATCCCCCAATTCTTGACAATCATTACCAAATATCCACTGGACTAACCTCATGAGTCCCCTCTGTTCTCCTAAGACCCAGGCTTAGATACACAACTGGAAAGAAACTCATAGGCTACTTGCTTTCCTTGAGGCAATGAATGCCTTCTTCTCTTTCCCGAGGCAATTCATGTGAATGTGAACAGCAAAGCAAAAGAGGAAAGAGAAATTAGATGCATCAGGGAATATGGTTAATATTTTAAAAGTGTCATCCCACCTATGTTGTATTTTAGAATCTGTTGCCTTAAAATGTACACCACATGTCATTCTAGTACCTCCTTTGTGTATATTACTTCTTGCATATAGACTGCAATGAATAGCATATAAAAGGAAATTTAAGAGGGGAAGAAAGAGACTTAGTCACTAAATTATGATCCATGCAGCTGAAATAAAGAATTATTATTCACACCCAACACACATGCCCAACTGTTTCTGGGTATTGAACTTTGCTTCCAGGTTTAGAACTTACACTCTCTCTAGTGAATTATATCCAGGCCTAGGTGTTTGGAGCAAGAGGTAGATCAAAGACCTTGCATTTGACGGTTTAATCCTTGTATGAGTCATTCTAAGGAAATCGATAAGAACCAGCAATAACTCTACTGATTGTAAATCTATCATCGGCTCATGTGCAATATTTAGCCACTTCTCCAGGTTCTGTATCTCTTATTCATTCATCATTCATTCAAGTTTGGAAATAAGTTGTTCGTAAGTCTCCAGAACATAAATTGCTGTAAGAGGTTCATGCAAAGCAATCCTGGAGATTATAGTTTTAGTTCTATGACAGTCTCCAGGCCTTTATTCTACCTATTAACCAACTTATCACCTTGGCACAAATGAGAAAACACTCGTAGAACCTGAGGCTAAGAGAAGGGGAGATATTTCAGCTGCTGAAACTTCATGTATGGAGAATCTCAGATCATTTCAATTTATTTTAAAAGCCTCGAGCTCACACAAAAAGGCTTTTGATGTTGTCCTGGGCATAAGTGCTGATTTCAATTCCTGTTTTTTTCACATGTTCTCAGGTCATTAACCATGAATTATTTTTCTTTTGGCTACAGAACTCTAATATAGCACAAGATGTTGTGATACAAACCTGCTAAATGTTTATAACTATTTGGCAGAAGTTAGTCACTTTGCTGTAATGTTATTTACAGTGTACGTTGCTACATTGGTAGAGTATAATATGAAAGCATTAACCCTTCCCCCTTCCACCAAAATTCAGCCTAATATAAGCGTTTTCCCCTGAGCATCACAGCTCTGGCACGCAGCAACAGCCGTGTGCACGCCAAGCCACCCCACCCCAGTGTATGGCTGCCAAGAGCTCAGAATGCCCAGAGCTGAGATGGAGCACCCACTTCTCTCTCCAGCCAAATCAAACTTGCGCCTGAGCTCTAGATGTTACTTAGCACACCAAGTGATGAACTTACAGCTCCTTTTCCACAGATGGGGCCAATTCGAATGTGTATCTGCCCTTAGTTACTCTATATACTCTGCTTCCCTCTTCATCGATATAGTACATTATGCTCACTCATATTCACAATCTGCTTTTTAAGTTTACAGCAAAGTTGAGCATTCTTTTAACCCTTTCCCCTCCTTTTTTGAAACTGAGAATTGTTTGGTTAAGAAATACTCTGGCTTACACAGTTATTTCTTCTCCAGCGGTTCACACAGTCCTTTAGTATTGTGTACTGCCTCAAAGTATCATCATGATGAATATTAATTATTATTGGGGTAACTGGTAAAAATGCCAGTTTAATATAATTTTCTGAGAAAAAAAAATCCAAATAAGCCCCCTCCACTTTTTACAAAACGTAGTGTGTAAGTACTAACATTGATGTAGCTTTACTCTGTGCCAAGAATCATGTTAAACGGATCATCCCATGTCATCCTCAAAATTGCCTGTACGAGGTATATTGTTGTCTCACTTGAGAGTCTCCTGAAAACAGAAGTGGAGACGAGGGCTTTATGCATTAGTGTTTTGGGGATGTGATTCTTGAAGGCATAAATGAGGGCTATAGAAAGCCAGACAGGGAAAGAGGAGGAAGTCAATAAAAGGATGCATTATTGTCACCATGAGGGGCTACAGGGGCTTAATTCTGCCTGACCTCTTGAGATGTGGAAAGATATCTCCCACAGTTATCCAGCAGGACAGGAGGCAGGAGTATTTATCTACTGGTTCCTGTGCCCCACTAATCAAGGGTTACCCAGAAGGTAGGGAGCTCTCACAGGGCAGAAAGCAGAGAAACTAGTCCTTGACTGCTCTCAGGGAAGTGAGTGGGTGCAGCCAACAATGGCACACTGCAGATATGGCTCAAATCAGAAGTAAAGTATGTGAGTTGGGTCAAAAGACTTGTGACATAGTGATTATCTCCTCATTTTACAGGGAGGAAACCAAGATGGATAGAGGTTACCTCACCTGCTTAAGGTCATAAGGCTGGTAAGTGGTAGAGCTAGGTCTCAAAACATGGGCCATCTGGCCTCAAAGCCCATGATCCTAACCATGTGCTATCAACCCCCACCCCACGTGAGGGAGGATGAAGGCTGCACTCTACTCTGTCCTGGAACCCATGTTTGTGGCATTTATTCAAACATTGCATTTTCTCCTTTGGGAATTCATTTTTTAAGTTGCACCAACACAATAAAATGCTACTGCAATGCTACTGCATCTGCATTTATGGGGAAAAATGAATACCTTTCATTTGAGATCATGTAGGAAGAGAGAGGTTCAGACAGTATATACCACTCAAGGGAAAAGAAGAAACAAAAACACACAACTCATACGATCTTTCGAGTTCAGAAAACTGCTTTTCAATTTTTTATTAAAATGTAATTCTTCAAAGAGTATAGAAATACACCTGGCAATGACCTGTTAAAAGTCATCCATCTGCTTCAAACATCGAGAAATATCTACCAAATTCCACCTCATTGGGATATATTAAGCGGTACAAATATATATTATCATAAGGACACCAAAGTGGCTACATTTGACAGATTCTTCTAAAGTGGACACAATTTTCTGACAGATTATGTTTTCCCTTGATGAAAGTTGTAACAATTGTGAAGGATTTGAAAGACATGTTTGAAGGGCCACATGTCAACTATCAGAGCAAGAAGCTACAGACGGCATGCACAGAGGGCCTGGGAGGCAGGGGGCACAGGGAGAGAGTACGGCAGTCCTGGGTTTCTGCTGTGAGCACACAACGCTTTGAGGAGACAAAACACACAGAGGAAGGCACTCCTTCTGTAAGGGAAGGGTCTCTGTATTCACATTCAGGAATTATAAGACACCACACCCAGGAGAGGACAGGAAAAGGAAACTCCTTACACAGAGTCTGAGTTTCCTCTGAGGGACAAGGGCCAGTGTGATGAAAGGAAAGGATACGTGAGGACCACTGCCTTCAGGATACGGAAGTGTGTGGTGAGAAGGCCCACTTCCTTTCAAGCCTGCTCAAGGCACTGGATGGACTCCTCTATGTGCTGTTAACAAGAACAAAACCTCCTAGAGAGAAGAACAAGGCTGGCACTTGATTTGCTCTCAGCAAGAGTGAAGTGTCACCTGTTTGAACTCAGCCTGGTGAAATCCACCTTCAGTGGACTCAAATTGCTTGTGAGAGCCTCCAGGGGACTAATCACTTGAGGACACTGTCCTTCCTCTTCTATCCACTTGGGCTCCTGCTCAAACTACACTGAGAGGGAAGAAGTGGAAAGATTACCTAGTCTAGGTATAGCCTTTGCATTTTACAATGATTAGTTCTTTCTCTCTGTTCTGTTCCTCCTGTAAGTCCAAAATGAAGGGAGAGTCACACTTGCACAAACAGACTGAAAATGAGACTGGTCACGCCTGGTTTTGGAGTCTTTCTCTGAACGGGGAATGATTTTTGTCAGCCTTTTCCCACTCTTTTTGGCAGAATCACCTCCCTTAATCAAGTAGTTTTAGCTTACTATTTCCAAAGGACCCAGTTCACACTAAATTTGCATTTCTTAATTACTTTTGAACTCCAAAAATTTGCATGGAATAATTTTTTCCAATATACCTTACTCCTACTCACTGCTAGTAGCACCTTTAGGCGAGAATATGTGGGAAGAGAAAAAGACTACAGTGCATGGACATTTCACAGTCTTTCTTCTCCACCTCTAAGCTTCTCATTTGTTGAAAGAAAAAAACACACACACACACACACAATTTAAGGGGGAAAAGACATAAAAAGAGCTTGCAGTGTTTTCCAACCTACACTGCAGATGTGTCTGAGGTCTCAGTGGTGCCTGGAGGTTGTCAGGATAATCCAGGACAGAGTATCTCCCTTACCACCAGGCACATCTATTGCCATATCTTTCAAATGGGGCAGAACAGCCATTCCTTATCCATGTCACGGTGAGAGGATGAAGGGCATCGGAAGAAGCTGGGAATCATATGACAGGGCCATCCAGAGAAAAAGCGTCGAATGCCACGTCCCTATATTTCCTGAAGATACAGATCGATATTATCCATTTTTAATATCTGTCATATTTAAGTCCATCAAATAGGCATTTTCTTTGTAGCCACGTCACACCACAATTATCTTCGGCTTCCCTTGGAGTGCCCCTACTCCCTTTGAGCTCATGGACGCTCGTCCCCCCATGAATTCCCTGCTGGACCCACAGAACTGAGGTGTCCCCAGAAAATGCACATGGTGTAGCCACCCCAAGACCCGGTTTTTGTTTCCACAGAGGGGGATGGGGACATTACTAAGGACATGGATCACTGAGATAAATATATATATACTCCCTCAATAAGGAGGACATTTGATTTTATAGAGATTTCCCTCTCATTCAAAAGCATCTGGCCCAGACAGGAGGGGTCAACCCATACAGGGTTGCAATGAGATCACATAAATCACAGGGCCAGAGTGAAGGGAGGGCAGCAGCGGAGGAGATCCCTGCTGTTCCCAGGAATTTTCAACCCTTGCTAGGAATCCACCTTCGGGAAAATGCTCACTTTATTGTTTCTGCTCATCTTCCGCTCCACCCTGCCTACCTTGGGCATCTTCGTCTGGATCAGCTCTTCTGGGGTGTTACCCAAGGGGGGAAGCAGCCGCTTCTTGCTGTTTCGGGTCTCTGAGAACCACTGGGGAGGCAACTCAAAAGGCCCAAAGCCAAACTGAAGGGAATACTTATCAGGGAATGTCTCAGGTTCCACAGGGGCTGCTGGAACCACCTGGGATATAGAGTCCACCGTGCCAGGGGGTGGCACATGGGGTGTAAACTGTGACCCCCGATCTCCCTCCAGGCAGGTGCTAAGTATCTCCTTGGCCTGGAGGTCAGCAGAGCCAGGGTACTTTGCTTCACTCTCTTCCTCATCCTCCATGGGCTTAAAGATCTGCTGCTGCCCAATGTGGAACATCTCCAGGAGCTGGCTGCCCGAGCGCATGCTGGGCTCCAGGCTAGCCTCGGCCAGCCCACTCCCTGTACTCACCACATTACGGCGACTGTACCGATGGTGCAGTTGTACCAAGGTCCCTATCAAGCACTTGCGGACAGATTTGTTCACAGTAAGAAAGAGCACAGGGTTCGCCAGCAGAGAGACTTTGGGCAGCCAAATGGCAGTGAGCAACAAGAAGATTGAAGTGTCAGGGACGTTGAGCACAGTCTGGTAGACGACCAGGGTGGCATAGGGCACACTACATAAGATGAAGACCATCACCATGGACAGCAGGGTAGCGTGCAGCTCGGCCTCCCGCTGGGAGGCATAAGGGATAGAGACAGTGTTCTGTGGGGTCCGCAGCGCTGCTATGATGACCTTCTTCTTCTGGCTGGCACTCAGGGCCCGTCGGATCAATATCAAGAAGAGAAAGACCACAGCCACAGGCACGATGACTGTGGTGATATTATAGATCAGAACATATACCAGGTGGCCCAAGGAGTTGCTCCAGACTTCGCTGCAGGTAGACATGGCGTAGATGTCAGCCACGTTGGTCACTGCAAACACCGGGACACTGGCCACCACTGCATGGGCCCAGATGTACATCACCAGTTCGCGGGACTTGGCATCAGATATTTTTCTCTCCAGTGGATAGAGGACTGAGTAGTACCTGCAAAACACATGCACCAAATTCGTTTCACAGAAGATATGCTTTAAATTAGGGGAAACCAAAAGTGGTAGAGGGGGAAAAATGGGTCAAGTTCTTTTATTCTGCCTAAGACAAAGGAAACCACTGGAGGAATTAGGGAGCCAGACTTCAAGACATGAGGACTTAGCTGTACAATTTATAGCTAGCTTTATAACTACTGCCACCAAGATTAAATCCCAAAGAGTGCTCTCAATATAAGGGAAGTCTTCATCTGCTATAAAGACACTTGTTTTTCAATTTAAAGGTAAAGGATAATTTGTAAAAAAAAAATTTACATGGGCTAGAGGAGCTTCAGGGCAATTTTCAAAGCCACTAACAGAAAGAAATTTGTCTGCCCACATTTCCAAAGCAGACTCATGCCACAGTGTATGTATGGATAACATAAGCCTTATAGCTGCTCAGGACAGAATAACCCAGTACGAAGGATGATGGACTCTGACAAAGTCCTTCCAGCAAACCAATTCAACAGACAAAAATTATGCCTGCTCAATATTGTTCCCATGACAATCACTTAGTGACCCTAAGGGTAATTAATAGGTCTAAAATGCCTGCATGATTAGATTTTTGTTAAAATCAGATTTTCATTCAAGTTTTAACTTGATTATTCTGTAACTACGTAATCAGAATTCCAAAAGCACCTTGTTTCCATATCACCAATGATTTGGGGGAACTGAGTAATTCTTCAAACCCTAGAGCCACATCTGTCGTGAAAGGGCTGCCGCTGGCCATCAGGAATACGGCGATTGTCAGAGATTATCTTGGGCCACATCTCTGCAGTCAGCTAACGCTGGAATCAACCTTACAACCCTATTAACATTCATTCATTCATGAGGCCAGGTACACATGCATGCCTTCCTGCCACAAGGATTTCTGAGCACCACCTATATGCCTAGTACTGTGCTAGACACCATGTCACAGAGATAAAAAAGACATACAGGAATGTTTTTGAACTCAGTGGGGGAAAACGCATGCAAACAAACAATTATAAATGAGGAGATGATGGTTCTCTTGGAGGTACGCACAAAGGAGATATGGCAAAAGGGGGCACCTGGGAAAATGTCAAGAGAAGGCAGCACTTTGATGGAGTCTAGCAGGGGACAAGCTGGGGGAGAATGTTCCAAGTTGAGGGAGATACGATGCAAACACAACATGACCATGGATGATGAAAGATGGACGAAGCATGGTGAAATGTGTTCTAGATCTCCTTCTAGGAGGGGGGGAAAAAGAAAGAAATGCATAAGTTACACATGCTCCCAATTTTATTTCTCTGGATACAAATAAAGTTTTCTAACCACAGCTCTATAAATCCAGTGTAGTGGCCCTGCAGTCACATGCGAACACATGCTCAGGAGACCACTGTCTATGTTGCCCATTTACTAAATGGTAGATAACAGACCCAGGCTTCCAGTCATTTCTGCATATATTAGGAACTAGACTGCAACACAAGCACACAGGCTCATTATAAATAATTTTGTTAGTATGTACATCTCTAGAAGATAATGCAGGAAGTGTACGTGGCCTCTCAATTAACTTGCTGAATCGGTGCCACAAAACCAATATCTGAGAAAGAAGTGAGAGAAAGGGTTGTATTCTCTTTATCTTCATGCACATCATACTTAAGCTTACAAGTAATTTATGTCTCTGAATAATAAAATAGGACCTTATAAGCTCTGTTTTTCTACTAAAAGGACATGCCTACCTTAAAAAAAATAATGGCACAAATTTTCTGATGAAAAGAAAATAAGGATTTCTTACTGTTAGGATATTTTCCCAAGACAAAGGGCCCAGAAATAGCCCACTGTTATTATTGCATTGATTCCAGGTATAACAGAAAAGCGTTCAAAATAATGTGTTCTCACTCTTCTTTGATTCCTATTCTTAAAAAACTTTCAGGATTCATAGCAGCATTATTCACAATAGCCAGAAAATGAAAACAACCCAACTATCCATCACCTAGTAAATGGATAAACAAAATGTGGTATATACATACAACAGATTATTATTCAGCAATAAAAGGAATGAAGTAAATTGTTCAGAGAGTAGATCCTAAGAGTTCTTATTATGAGAAAAAAAATTATTCTTTTTTTGGTATCTATATGATGGATGTTAACTAAACTTATTACGGTCATCATTTCACAATATATATATGTCAAGTCATTATGCTGTGTGCCTTAAACTTATACAGTGCTGTAGGTCAATTATATCACTAGAAAACTGGAAAGGAAGAAAAGAAATCAAGTACTGATACATGCTACAACATGAATGACTCTTGAAAAGAAGCCAAACACAAAAGAATGTATATTATATGCATCCACTTACATGAAATGCCCCCCAAATGCAAACATATAGAGACAGAAAGTAGACTAGTGGTTGCCTATGTCTGGTGATGGAATGGAGAATGAGTGTAAATGAGCATGAGGCTTCTTTTAAGGGTGATAAATATGTTCTAAAGTTCAATTGTGGTGATGGATGCACAACTCTATAACCATATTAAAATTCATTGACATACATTGAAAATGGGTGAATTTTATGATAAATTATTTCTCAATGAAACTGTTTTTAAAAATCTTTCAGAGAAGTCCACAATATGAACTGAAGACTTAAGACTTCATTGAGCTGGTAGTATAAGGGGCAACTGGGAGGACACCTGCCACAAACACAGAATCCTTCAACACAAAATTCAGGAAGTAAACTGACTTTTCACTGTTATATTCTAACACTGTGCACTTTCCAGATATTCAAAGACCTCTTGTTGAGTATGGAAGAGACGTGCCAAATCACCATAAAGCCAGCATGGCAAACTGGCATTGATTGCATGGTGTACATTCAGCTTGTTGAAGGGATTTGAATGGTCCACATAGTTTTTGAATGTAAATTAAATGCAAACATATAACAATGACAGAATTCTAGATTTCTGATTTCTCTTCTAAGAAAACAGAAAGTCCTGCCAACTAAGTCTAGATAGCCACAAAGCAACTATTAGTTGCACCTGCTGAGTAACTAACACTAATGAACAGGAATGCAGAACCATGACCTCAGCCTGGTCTGTGTCACTTGGATTTGCCTCATCTGCCCCTGTGGATGGTGAGTTTCTAGTGAGAAATTTTCAGAGATGGAGTGGCTCACAGCCAGATCTGATGATAAAATGATTGCAGACAATATATCTAAAGAAGAATGTGCTAATAAAAAGCAAAGCCTAGAGAAAGAGAGACAAATATTGGTATGACCTAGCCAAGCACAGGCCATAAATAATACATTTCTTTCTTCTTAACGCTGAGGAACCTGAGGCTCAGAAAGGTTAAGATGCTTTGCCTAAAGCCACCCACCAAGAAAGCGATGTTAAGCAGGATTTAAAGGCAGACTTCTGGCTCCAGAGTTCCCTCTCTTAAGCTAGTTATGTAGGGGTTATGTGTGACTCTACGTCTCTCCAGGCAGCTAATGAAATTGGGGTTCCAGGCCTGAGAGATGACTCCACAAATCGGTTCTGCAATCCACATACTTACAGGTCATTAAGGTATTAAGTATGTTTTGAATGGACAAAGAGTTTAAAAATTCCAAATTCATTCAAAATGTAGTTAAATTTATCATAGAGTATAAAGTCAGAAGAGTCAGCACTATTGCTTCAGCAATTTTTCCTTTATGTAAACCCTAAAAATCAGAAGTACTCATGCACATAAAATACTTTTCAATTTCGTTTGCTTATTTAATTCTATTCTCTAAAATGTATTATTATCTCAACTGTATTCAGGACATGCTAACAACAAAGGGAAAAGGCAGGAAGCTGTTGATTACTGAGATCTTTACACTTAACTTTGATAAATTTGATCATACTATGTATGATGGCAGTAGCTAAGATATAAGATTCATTTCCAAATGAACATCCTGTTAAAGAGGATGGGAAGAGAAAACAACAACCATCACAACGTAAAGCCTTGAAAATAAATCCTCCAAAGGCATTCTGGTGCTATCTGGACTAATCATTTGTTAACTAACCATGAATTGTTCTCTTGTTCTTCCAGAAATGTTTTCATCCTACATCAGAAAGCTCTAATTGCAGAGCTTTCAAGCAGATGAGCAATCTACGGCAAATTGCAATACACATACCGCCAATTCTTACCAAGCAGAAGCTACACCATAATTCTGTAGCTGTGCCCCAGCAGCTTCATGATGTAACCTCCCAATGCCACAGCTTTTCTTAGTGGTCCTGTTTCTCGTAGCTGCTGTTAAATCAACCTGTCTTTTGTGAGGCATCTGTTTTGACAATTCATTCTCTTTCTGTTGACCGACCACAAGCTGATAAAAAGTGGAACAGTGACTATTTCCCATTTGTTTCGTGATGCTAATATTTCAATACACTTAAAACAAAAATTGAGCCCCTAGCTGCCTGATCTTACCTGTCCAAGGCAATGGCAGGGAAGCTGAGGATCGTCACAGAGCAGAAGACTTTGTGCAAAAATTTGACAACCTTGCAGAAGAGCATGGTGTAGATCCACCAGCAACAGTGAGGGCTGGTGCTGAGGAGGATATCGAAGGGCACGCAGACTAGGCTGGCACAAATCCCCGAGCAGGCCAGGTTTTTAATGAACCTGTTGGTGACAGATTTGAACACAGCTGTGCGGCAAGTTGACCATAACACCATGAAGTTTCCTGGCCAGATACACACACACACACACATACAAAAAGATTAAAAATAAAAATGAGTTTTAAATAAAAATAAAGAAGACAAAAAAAAAAGAAAAAAGATACAGGTTAAAAAAGATTCAAACACCACATTTCAGAGTTGATTTCAAAGGATTTAATTTAAATACTTACATATTGTCAATGTACATGGAATCGTTAAATCATTATGTACATCTCAAAAAAGCTAGAAGAATTTTTAGTAATAAGTTTTGTTACTTAATTTAGGCATAATAGTATTATGATGTTGATTCAGTATCTTCTGAGTATAAATAATTTGCCAGATATTACTTAATCTCAGGCAGTCTACTCTCACATAGTTTGCAACTGACTTCCACATTAGGACACAAGCTACACATTCAAATTTAGATTTTCCAGTAGCCATATTTTTCAAAAGTGAAAAGAAGCAGGTGAAATTTTAACAGAGTATTTTACTTAACCCAGTATGTCCCAAATATTATCATTTAAACCTGCAATCACTACCTTAAAACATATTTCATTCTTGTTTTTATACTAAGTCTTTGAAATCTGCTGTGCATTTTTTAAATTGAAATACAATTGATATATAACATTGTATTAGTTTTAGGTATACTAGTGTGCATTTTACTTTATATTTATAGCACATTTCAATTTGCACTAGTCACATTTCAAGTGCTGAATAGCCACATGTAGCTAGCTAGTGGCTACTGCACAGGACTGAGCTGTTCTAGATCTTTAGCAGAAATGACACATTTATCTCTCTGAGCAGTCTCCTTTCATGGCTTCCACAGGCCTATACCCTCCTGGTTTTCCTCCTACCCACCCACCTCTCCCAATTCCTGGCTGTTCCAAGTTTTCTTTACTAGGCCTCGCTCTCGTTCGCGCGCGCGCTCACTCTCTCTCTCTCTCTCTCTCTCTCTCTCTCTCTCTCTCTCTCTCTGTGTCTCTCTCTCTCTGTGTCTCTCTCTCTGTGTCTCTCTGTCTCTGTCTATCTGTCTGTCTGTCTGTCTGTCTCTCTCTGCAGCCTCTCCTAGGTTAGATTACCCTTTCAAGTGGCTTTCTACTGAAATGCTGATGACTCCTACATTCAGGTCCTAATTAGGCCTCAACTGCCAGATTCTTATTTCTAAAAAAAGTTGATCCACCACTCCTCTTAATCTGTTAGCCTCCCCTTGGTCCTCAAAAGCCTATGGATCTGGTACCTATCTGCCTAATGTTACTCTTCTCTTCCTCAGGCTTGCTGGGCACCAGCCACTCTGGCTTATTTTTTTTTTTTCCTGTTGCCTTTGCACACGTTTTCTACACTGCCTAGCATGCTCCTCATAAATTTGGTTCCTTTTAATCTAGGTCTTAATGTAATGGCTGCCTCCTCAAAGACCTTCTCTAACCATCTTTTTATTTTAAATACTCATTGCTCCTCCCTTCATTATACTCTTTTATAATACCCTGTATGTAATTTTCATAGCTCTTACCATTATTAATTTGTTTACTGGTTTCCCTTCCATTTCGTGAGGCAAAAAACCCGGTCAATCTTGTTCACTGTTATAATTCCATTGCCTCGCTCAGTATCTGTCACACAACGGGGATTTGATAAATATTTGTTGAATAAATGAATTTGTAAGATAAGGGGACAAACAGTAATCAAAAGTCCCTGCAGTAAGATGACCCCTTTTGTAGTACATACATCAGTAGTTCCAAACCTTGCTGTGCATCAGAATTACTATACCAGACATCTTGAATCACAGTTAATAGGTACGGAATCTGGGAGCCTGCATTTGTAACAAGCAACCCAGATACAGCTGGCCCCACAGACTAAAGTTTTAGAAATACAGAGTGTATAGCCCCCACCCCAGAGGCTCACAGGGACCAAGTCTTCAGGTTTACAGAACAGCCTATTCTACTGCTGGAGCTTTTACCTGATGGGAGAACCAGGTCCATTCGGCCAATCAGTCATGACCCACAGACACTGCTGCCTCCTGTACACATGCTCAGAGAATGTTCTCCAATAAACTGAGCCAAGAGCTCAGCCTTGCTGAGAAGTTGAGTGATGGTGCCAGGGGAGGGGGCAGGGTTCAGGGCTGCTGCCAGTCACTGCAAGGAGCTGCCTAAATGCCTTAGATCTTGACATAACTTACAGTCAAGAGTCTCTCTTCAAACATGATATTCTATGGCTACCTCCTATCTGCCAAACAGAGTAGAAAAAAAAAAGCCACTAATTTTAGGTAAGTAGGCAAGCCGCTTCCAGGAAATTCTCTACCAAACTTTCCTTGCATTAGTAACTACCACACTGAGATGAAACCAGTGGTGTGAACATATACATATATACATTTATTCAGTGTAAGAACTGTTTATACTAATACCACCACCTTTGGTCCCCTCAAGCTTTCCTGTCACCTCAGTGATAGTCTATGCAAATAATAATGTATTTGAAGCTCCACTGATTTGGGGAATTCTTTTTCCTGGCCTTTTCCCACTAAAGCACACATCAGAATCTGGCTAAAGCATCTTTCCTCACTTAAGTTTTATATACAGGACTTAAACTCTGGTAACCATCTAAAAGTGAAATAAGACACTTAAAGTAATCTGCCATGAAGAGTAATCTGACGTGTGTACATGTCACAGTACCTTCAGTTGTCAAAATCAAGAGGTCGCTCCAGTCCACTAAGGGATGTCCCATAAACACAATCCTTCTTTGCTATAAATCAAGACCCTTCAGATTTTCTTTCTCTCTCATCACTGTTAGTTTTCATAGCTTGGTAGGTTATGCTGAACAAAACATTTTGAGTAACCAAAGAAATAGGAAAATTCATCACAAAGGAGAGGACAGGCTGTGGGCCAAGTTTTCTCATGCACATAGTAGATTTTGTTGAAACTTATCTGAAACTAATTTCCATCATTACCCTCCTATTCTCTTCTCCTATCTTTCCCTCTATTATGTCAGGCATACTTTTTAAAAAAATCATATATTTTATTAGTATGTCCATACTTGTGAGTGAGGAAACCTGTTTTCAATGGTTATTATTTAAAAAATTGATACTGCTATCGTCACATTTTATCTCCCTTATAAAACCCTAGATGGCATCTGGAGCCTAATCCCTTTTGCTATTAAGAACCTGAAACTAAGAAGCCTATGTTCTTTCCAGTCTTTAAACTATTTCTCTCTCCTCTCACTTAAAAATGGACTCATTCGGCTCTGAGAATCTGAATTAGACCAAAAAATCAGGAGTCATCCACGCTCAATATCGGACACACATAAAAAAAGGCGTGTGTCTGTACACACAAACATACACACACAAGCACATGAGTATACACATATATAGGCATGCACACAAATATACATACAACAAAGCAAGATAATTATATATTTGATCATTTAATCTCATTAGCACTTTAGATTCATCTTAGCTTAACAAGACCTACTAAGGATAATTCAGTATACATTTTAAGCAACACAGATTCAACCTTGAGATACTTTTCATTTTAGAGATCATGTTCTAAACCATCTAATCCTCCATCTAATCCATGATTCAAGTTCCATACCCATTCTTCCTCCATATATATTCCCGTTATACTTTCTAATGCTGGATTCCATGACAACATTCAATCCCAGAGCTGTGGGGACAGCAACACAGCCAGTATATACTCATAGCACACACAACCAAAAGGGAAAGAAGAAGGAAAGGGTGATGGCAGAAACATGTCGATTAATTACAACTAACAGATAGTGCTTGACAGACCTTGAGGAACTCACCATGCAATTTTTTTTTTTTCCAACTAAATTTTGCATTTGGAAATTTCAAACTGTGGTTGTTCTTTTTAACTGATTCATAGGCTTTTCATCTGTGAGAACAATCCTGGTGTATTAAAGAGACTAGTAATCAAAACAAAATATTCCAAAAGTGCCTTAGAAAATAATATGCCATTGAGAATCCTCTTGGGAAAATAGATACATTATCCTTTTAAAACTACAGGCTTCCCCAGAGACTTACAGCAGTAAAAAAGAAAAAAGAAATAAAAAATCAAGGCCATGCTCTTCAGAAAGATAACATTATCTCCCAGAACATTCTAAAAAGTGAAACTTGAAAAAGGCAAAAGCAAAGTGGAGGCAATATTACATTATAAGGAAAATCCTAAGAAGACGGCCAAAGTGAAGTAACAAGAATTAAAAAGACTACAGAGGATTTTTACACTCAGCAAACACCATGTGATATAAAAGGAAAGTCTAAGCAAGTTAGGTAATATCAATTCCATAACAGAAAAAACAAAGAACAGACAACTACTTTGTGTAGAATGGGATTTAAAATTTCTTCTTTCCTTCAGTTTGCAAATAAAAAAGTAACCAATAACAGGGTCTCTTGGGTTAAAAGAATTATATAAAATGAACATCAGGAAATGCTTTTAACTAATCTGCCAGATAACAGTTGGAATGCCTTTTAGCCTATCCATGTCTTTATATTTAAGGTGGCTTTCTCATAGCCAGCATATAGTTGACTTTGCTTGATAACTAATCTGACAATCTGTCTTTTAATTGGTATATTTAGATTAGTTACATTTAATGTAATTAATGATACAGTTGGAATAAAATCTACCATCTTGCTAGTTGCTTCCTATCTGTCTCATCTTTTCTTTGTTTCTTTTTCCTCTTTATCTTTGTGATTTTGGATTGAGTATTTTTAAAATTCCGTCTTATCTCCATTATTGGTTTATTATTTCTATTTCTTTTTAAACTTTTTAGTAGTTTCCCTATATTTACTACATATATCCTTAATTACTCACAACCTACATTCAAACACTATTACACTTCTCATGTAGTATATAATCTTATAACAGTATATTTCTAATTCTTCCCTCCTAACCTTTGCACTTCCATTGCCAAACACTTTACTTTTATATAAACTATAAACCAAAATACATCGCTGAAATTTTTAAAATAATTTAAGGGGGAGAAAGTATTATTTTTATCTTCATTTTAACCTTTTCTGGAGCTCTTCATTTCTTTGGGTATATCCAAGTTTCTGCCTGGTATCATATTCCTTGTGCCTGAAGAATTTCCCTTAACATTTCCTATGGTACAGGTCTGCTAGTAATTTATTCTCTCAAAGTTTGCCTGAAAATGTCTCCTTTTTTCCTTCATTTCTGAATGACATGTTTGCTGGGTATAATTTTATGAATTGAGAGACTTTTTTTTTTTACCCCAGTACTTTACTGATGTCATTTTACTGTCTTCTGGATATTACAGTTTCTGATAATATGTCTTCTATAAATGTTATCGTTGTTCTCCTATATGTAATAAGTCTTTTTTTCTCTAGCTAACTTCAAGATTTTCTAATTCTCTTTGGTTTTTAGCAGTTTGAATATAATGCATCTAGGAGTGTGTATGTGTGTGTGTGTGTGTGTGTGTGTGTGTGTGTGTGTGTGTGTGTGTCCGTCTGTCTGTCTCTCTGTGTGCGAGTCTGTACCTGGCTAGGGTACTCTGATCTTCTTGGATCTATGGATTGACATTTTTTATTATTTTCGGAAAATTCCTGGCCAATATTTCTTCAAATATTTCTTCTTCCCCATTCTTTCTCACTTCTCCTGCTAAGATTCTAATTACATGTAGTATATGTGGTAAGCAAAATAACGCCCTACCACCAAACGTCCATACCTGAATCTCTGGAATCTGTGAATATGTCAGGTTACATGGCAGAGAGGAATAAAGGCTTCTGTCAGCTGACCTTAAAATAGGGAAACTGTCCTGAATTCTTACAGGTTTAAAATTTTCCCTATCTGATAATTTCAATATCTGGGTCATATCTCAGTTGGGATATTTGATTGCTTTGTTTCTTGACAATCGTTTTTCTTATGTTTTAGTGTGTCTCATAATTTTAGGTTAAAAGCTAGATATCATCTTTAGGACATTTATATTGCTAAATGATATTTACAGGACATTTGGACAGACATACACACACAAACACTCACACACAATTACACAAAAGCATTATTTAGGTCAGGTTCCAGATCCCAGGCCACAACTCAGCAACTTCACTTAGCAGTCCCATAAATATTCATAGGATATTTCTCACAGGCAAGAAAGAAGAACAGGTTTGGTGATTTTTAAAGAAAGAGAACAGGAAAAGAAGGTAAGGGGAAAAAAAGGAGAACAGAACATTAAGAAAAATAAAAGGTTTTTTGTGGATTAGACACCTCTTATTACTATACCATGCCACAGACATTCAGTTCTTAAACCTGTATGATCATTGGGATCCCCTGGAAAGCATTTAAAATATGGATCCCTAGACATCTCGGCCCAATTGAATCAGAACCCTGGAAGGCCCGGAATCTTTATTTTTATACGCTCAATAGTAAATTCAGATGACCAGTCAGGATACACCGCCACAGCCACTCACTGTCAGCCTTCACCATACTGAGTACCTCAGTGTATTCATTGCTTTTTTCAGATATAAAGAGAACATTCCCCAATATCGAAGGCAAAAATATGTAAGTCACAGTGAGCTCTAATCATAGTCTCCACAGAGCCCCAAAGAAATCCTTCTCTGGCCAAGGATCAGTGCCGGACTGCTGCTC